AAAAAAAAAGAAAAAAAATTAACTTACAAAAATCTATAGCATTTCTATATACAAACAACAAGCATACAGAGAGAACTGAAGAAAATAATTCCATTGACCATAGTCAATGAGAAGTATAAGATTCCTAGGAATAAAACTAATCAAGGAAGTCAAAGACCTCTAAGGAAAACTGTGAAAAATCTTAAAAAGGAAATCAAAAAGGACACATGAAAATGGACATCCCATGTTTCTGGGTGGCAGAATTAATATAATCAAAATGGCAATCCTACCCAAATTACTCTACATGTTTAATGTGATCGCTACAAAATTACAAGAGACATTCTTCACAGATCTAGAAAAGACAATCATAGAATTTGTCTGGAATCATGAAAGACTCCATATTGCCAAAGCCATCCTGTGCAAGAAGAGTGGAGTGGATAGCATCTCATTTCTTGATCCCAAAATATATTACAGGTCTGTGATAATCAAAACAGCATGGTATTGGCACAAAAACAGATACAAGGACCAATTGAACAGAGTAAAGACCCCAGAAATAAACCCCAAAACACACAGCCAATTCATCTTTGACAAAGGGTACCAATCAATCCAGTGGGAAAAGGAAAACCTCTTTAGCAAATGGTGCTGGAAAAACTGGTATCCACCTGAAGAAAGATGAATCTGAACCCCTATCTGTCACCATTAACAAAAATCAACTCAAAGTGGATCAAAGATCTAAACCTAAGACTGCAAAGTATAAAACTACTGGTGGAAAACACTGGGGAAACTCTGGGCGACATTGGGGTAGGCAAAGACTTCAAAGCACAGGCAATAATCCCCAAAATAGACAGGTGGGGTTACATCAGATTAAGTTTCTGCACAGCAATGACTCTTTAATTAGTGTGAATCAACAACCCTCGGAATGGGAGAAAATTTTTGTTAACTGTGCCTCAGATAAGAGACTGATAACCAAAATACACAGGGAACTCCAGCGGCTTACCTGGAAGAAAATTATTAACCCAATTAAAAGATGGGAAAATTAGCTGAAAAAACAACTCTCAAAGGAAGACATACAAACAACCAAAAAGCATATGGAAAAATGCACAACATCCCTCATCGTAAGGGAGATGCAGATCAAAACCACGATGAGATACCACCTAACCCCAGTCAGAATGGCAAAGATTCAAAAAAAAAAAAATTGATAAGTGCTGGAGGGGATGTCGTGAAAAGGGAACACTTTTACATTTTTGGTGGGAATGCAAATCAGTCCAGCCACTGTGGAGAACAATATGGAGGTTCCTCAAAGACCTTCAGAATAAAACTACCACTTGTTCCAGCAATTCCACTCCTGGGTATCTATCCAAAGGACAAGAGAATGTTCAGTCAGAAAATCGCTTGCACAAGTTTATTTATTGCAGCATTATTCATGATTTCTAAGACATGGAACCAGCCCAAATGTCCACAAACAGATGAATGGATTGAAAAAGTGTGCACATATACTCCATGGAATACTATTCAGCCATAAATAACAAGGCCCTGGAATTTGATAGAAAGTGGACGAATATGGAAGATTTGTTGCTGAGTGAAGCAAATAAGGCCATAAAAGAGAGGCGTTGTATGTCTCCAATTAACATATACTGACTGTCGGTGCTCTAGGGTAGAGACTGAAAGACTGGGGGACATAAAAGCATTAAAAATTGTTATGGACACATTAAAAATTGTTATGGAGACAAAAGTGGGAGGAGAGTGTGGGAGAGTAAGAGTATAGGAAAGGAAATTTGGGGGGAAAGAAGTAAGACATTTGTGAATCATAGATATGGTTTATTATCTGCTCATAAGGATGTGTATAATATTCTCAACTGGGCTGGACTGAGATATATATAATGCTGGGTAAAGTCTCTTGACAATCTAAATGATGTATAACAATTGAATGTATAAATAATAATAATAATAAAAGTGAAAAAAAAGAAAGAAAGAAATGTGGGTCAACAGGTGATATGGTGGTTAACACACTGGCGTCCTACGTGGGCAACTGTAGTTCGAGTCCTGAACCTGTCAGCTCACGCACGTGCTTACTCACTTGCTGTCTCTCCTCTCTCTGTGGGTCTCTCTGTGTGTGTGTCTCTCTCTCTCTGGTGAAAACACATGCCCTATAGCAAGTTAAAATAATGACAAATAAATAAAATAAATTTTTTTTTTTAATTTTTAAAGAATAGAAACGAAGAAATATATCTGAAAAATATTTAGTACCAAATTCTTGCTCAAATAAAAACTCCATTTCAGTTAATGGTAAATACATGAATTACAGTAAACCAGACACTTAAAAGGCCAAGAAGTCTTCCAACAGTTTATTAGAAAGAATGTAGACATTTAAAAAAATCCCCACGGTCATGAACACAAATTGAGGTTTTTTTCAGCCCTAGTATAAGCTGAATCAAAAAAAGAAATAAAAAATCCAATAGTGTATTAACATTTTTTCCACTCATTTGCCATACTGACAGTGCAAATACAAATCTGGTCTAAATGTACAGACTCCCAAGCAACTGGACCGATGAACTAGGGCCCAAGGAACAGTATGATCTTAACTCTACAACTAATTGTATGGTCATGGGCAAATAACTTTAGCGCCTTAATTTGCTCATCCTCAAAAGGTGATAATGTGGTGCTTACTTCATAGGGATGTTGTGAAAATCATACGAGTTGATGCTTAGAAAAGCACCTTGTACATTGTAAGTACTCAATAAGTGTAAGTTCTTATTGTGCTGATTTGACTATCATTATTATCAATAGCATCGATAAACAAAGAACCCTATCAGGAGCAGACATGCATTCTGGCCTCAAAGAAAGTCCCATTTGGAGCAGCCTTGCCATTTTGAATCCCCTTAAATCCTCTTTAGTCCTCAAGTGCATAGGAGAAATAAGATACTTCTTTCCTCTCTCCTTCCCTGTGGTATGGGTAACTTTGGCGACTTTTTTTCATTGCACATTACGGTCTTGGTCTTTTTTGTTGACTAGGAGGTAGGCACAGCTGCCTGTCAACACAATTTTGAGCTCGTTTTTGTTCCTCTAATTATGATTTTTTTTCTTCACAGAACAATACCATCAAGACCTCAAAGTATAGTATCTTTAACTTTCTGCCCCTGAACCTATTTGAACAGTTCCAGAGACTTGCAAATGCGTATTTCCTCATTTTGCTATTCCTACAGGTATTGCCTTTTGGGGCCTTTCCACCATGCTTTGTCAACTTTTATGGGGTCAGTTTGTATAAACAATCCTTTTCCTCCCTAAACTGAGAGATGTATTCTCTCTTTAGACAACAGGCAAAGGGATGGGTAGTTTCAGGCCAGTGCCCTTGAATAGTTGTGGTCGGGATTAGCCAGTGGAAACAAACCTCTATGAAAGGAAGGAGACAAGGCACTGAATCCCAAGGGAGGGGAGCTCCTCATCATGGCTACAATTCAGCTTTACTGTAGGTGGCCACAGATTTTCCACCCCAACCACAGCTACAGCTCTATTCCTCTTTGTGTCCTGTCCTCCATGAACAGAAAGGTAACAGGAGGGAGAATGGTTTAGAATATATAGTCTTATATAGACTGCTAACACAAAGAAATGAGCAGGGTACGGTAGGCCCACACTGTAAGAGAAGTGCAGATTATCTCACTTCCCCTTGTGCTGAAGAGATACAGGAGAGTATGTAGTTTTCCCACATCCATTCTAACCCTGCCTACTCTAATTACCTTTCATTATCAGAAGAGAAATGGTCCTTTGTCATCAAGATAAAAGTACAATAGTCCCGGGACCAGCAGTTGACGTAATGGCTATGTCACTGGACTCCATGTAGTCGACTGCAGTTTGAGTCCGAGACCCAGTGGCTTAAACTCACGCCGGGCACATGTGCATGCGTGCCCAAGATCCTGAGAGGAGAATGGAGGAGAAGGGATTGCAGTATCACCCTCCCCCCGGGGGGTGATTTCTCACTTTCTGTCTCTCTCTGTCTTTATGGCGAGCACACACACCCTATAGCAAAAACTTCTCAAATAAATAAATATATACATAAAAGTACAGTAGTCCCCACTTATCTACAGGGTATATATACCTTCCAAATCCCTTGGTGGATGAAACAACAGGTAGTACTGAACCCCATATATACTGATTTTTTTTCCCAAACAGACATACCTAGAGTTTAATTTATAAATTAGACAACAATACAAATTAACAACAACATAAATTAAGACAAACTATAACATTATAGTATAATAAAAGTTGCATCAATGTTATTTTCCTCTTTCTCTCTCTCTCAACATATGATATTGTACTGTACTCAACTATTTTTGGACCACAGTAGACTGAGGTTGACCACAGGTAACTGAAACCATGGAAGGCAAGACCACAGATAAGTGGGGACTACTATAGTGGAGTTCAGGACAGATGGGTAGCAATTTACAGCCTTTTATCCTCCCTTGGGAAATGGGGAAATCTACAGGCTACGAGAGTGGAAAGCAACTAGAAGTTGAACGTATGGGAGTGAAAAATGGTGGTAGGGTTTTGGGAGAAATACCTTGTGGTTTAAGCTGTCTGACCCAAGATTCTCTTCCTTTCCCTCTCACAGCTGATCCCCGAGATCTCCTCTTTGCAATGGTACACAACTGTGATACCCCTGATGGTGGTGTTGTCCATAACAGGAGTGAAAGATGCTGCCGATGACGTGGTGAAGTGGTTCTCTGGGCCCCTAATTACTCACTGTACCTAATCAGGCTGTAGGACAAGAAGGGCTTCCCAGAGCTACCCAGTGCTATGAAGTACTACTGAATAGGAAGAGATATTTCCTTCCATGCTTCCTTACCTACCCCAGAGTAATATGTAAATCTCTTAGACCTAAGACTAGTGATCTATACATGGCCAGAAAGGGACAGTGCGTGGCCTCTCTCTCTCTTCTGACTGTCACCACTTCTAGCCCTTCTTCCAGGCTTTTTCCATTTCCACTTTAATCACCTGTTCTTCCTTCACTCCCCGCTTAGTTTTCTCTGACTTTGTTCTCACCTTTCTTCCTCTATTCCCCCTTCTCCCATTTTCTTATTTATTTGTTTATTTATTTATTTATTTATTTATTTATTTATTTATTTAGGAAAGGTTTTTGCTATAGGGCACATGCGCTTGCCAGAAAGACAGAGAGAGACAGAGAGACAGAAAGCAAGAAATCACCCCCCAGGGGGAATGGCCACACCGCAATCCCTTCTCCTCCATTCTCCTCTCGGGATCTTGGGCACGCACGCACACCCTCCTGGCATGAGTTTAAGCCACCGGGTCCAGGACTCAAACCGTGGTCGACCACACAGGAGTTCAGCAACATAGCCATTATGCTAGTTGCTGGTCCCCCCCTTCTCCTATTTTATGTCCCTTTTCCCTCCTTCCCTCTGTCTTCTGTTCCCCTTTTCTCCTGTTCTTTCTTCTCTTTTTACATCCCACTTCTATCCAACCCCTCCTATTTCCCTTTCTAACTTTCAGTTCTATTAGGTATGAACAGATAGGTACCCTCTGGTTTTAGAAAGTCTCCTGACATAAACAGAGACCGATCCTTTCCTGGGCTTGGAAAGAGAAACTGACTCTCAGTAAGTGTTGTGTGGCTTCCTCTTTGTGTCTTAGAGCAGGCTCAATAGAATTGGTGAGAGTGAGGACCCAGAACCATGCCTATTAGTGAGATTTACAGTCCTGCTGACTTGCTTGTCATTTCCCTAAGAGAATTCTTCTGATTTTGCCAGGATAGATTTTTTAGACCAAAGTTATGAGCAAAATATTCTCTAGCTCTTTAGCTCATTAAATCCACGATTAATATGTATTGCGGCCTGAATTTTAGTCACAACTCAGATTTGCAAAAATGTAACTTTATTCTCTATTACTGGATTCATTTTAGCTTATAACAATTACCACCTCTAACCCTCTCCAGTGAGAACTAAAAATTTAACATGCCGATTTATGATCATCTAGTTAGTAGTGGTTTAGAACTCAGTCTTGTTAGGATAAATATTTGGAAAATTCTGAATTCTCACAAATCCAAGATTCTCTCTGGTCCCCTTCTCACTCCTACCTTTTAACTAGGGAATAATCTCAGCTGCAACAAGAGACTCATGAGAGTCCTGCTATCAGAACATGCCCTGTATTTCTTTCCCTTCTATTTGGTCTTTGGTTATTGGCCTCTTCCCCTACTGCATCCACTGTAGAGGCTTCTGTATGTTGACCATGATTGGGGTTAGGGTAGTAGTATAGTTAAGAATACTAAGCTTTTCATGCACCTGTAGGATTCAGTAGTCCTGCCTATCATTTTGTAGTCTGTCTTTTGCATTTCTCACATAAATTGTTCTCAAGGCTTTAACTCTTGTTTTTTATTTATTTATTGAAAGAGATTTTTGCTATAGGGCACATATGCTCACCAGAGAGACACAAAGCAAAAAATCGCCTCTCAGGGGAGATGGCCGCACCACAGTTCCCTCTCCTCCATTCTCCTGGGCATGCATCCACACGGGCCTGGGGTGAGTTTCAAGCCACTAGGTCTTGGACTCAAACCGCAATCAACTAGGTGGGAGTCAAGCAATGTCACCATTATGCCATCTGCTGGTCTCTAGCTCTTGATATTTAAAAACAAGATTTTGTCTGTTTTCTTGCTAGGTTCTTTTTCCAACCTCCCTTCCCAGCTTCTTATAGAGAGTCAGCCCCTTGGCCCAGTTTTAATAGTAGAAGGGCTTCAGAGTGGGGAAAAGGAGAATTGCAAAGAAAGGAATCTGTATTGGGTAATATTTCAAACTACTAACTCTCTACATGCATTTGCTTTATATCTATTCCTGAATATTTTCTTGTGTGATTTCAGAAAAGGCACCAAAGTGACAAACAAGTCAACAACCGTCCTGTTTGGATACTGGAGAATGGCAAGTAAGTTCTTCTAGGAAAGTCGGTTTAGGTAGGCCCACTACTGGGAGAGTATGGGCTTTGCTAAAACTTGGTGTACCTCATGCTCTGGGAGGGTAATTCAGGCCAGTGAAAAAGAACCTCAAAATGGACAAAATTTGTTCCTAGATCTACCATATTCTGAAGTTGCCTTATAACCTCAGATGTCTCTAGGCCTCGTTTTTCTTTCCTATGAAGTGGAAATTATATTCTTAATAATATCTTAGAGGAAGCCTGTGAAAATAAAAATAAAATAATATATATTAAAGCAATTAATATATAACATATTAATATGCAAGTGATTATTCACAGTGTAGTGGTTAGCATGGAGACATCTATCTTTAAAACATTGATGGATATTTTTTTTTTGGAGAGGTTTTTGCTATAGGGCATGTGTGCTCACCAGACAGACAGAGAGAGACAGAGAGACAGTGAGAATTCACCCTCCAGGGGGATGGCCATGTGCAATCCCTTCTCCTCCATTCTCCTTTCGGGATCTTGGGCACGCACGCACATGCGCCTGGTGTGAGTTTAAGCCACCAGGTCCAGGACTTGAACCGCTGTTGACTACATGGGAGTCCAGCAACATAGCCATTATGCTAACTGCTGGTCCCAAACATTGATGGATTTTGATATGACTCTTGGCCATTCTGTTAAAGTCTTTAGAGGGCATTGACGTTCACTCCATTGCTGGACTGTTTGGTCATAGTTATGTAAAGTGTTGACAAGAATGGGAGAAGGCAGGCATATTCCTACATAACAGCAAAATATGAAAACTATCATAAGAGGTAAAAAAGATTAATATAGGAATTAATACAAATGAGCAATCATAGCTGGTTAAAGGAAACAAGGAAGGCTTTCTAGAGGAGGTAGTGTTTGTTCTAGGCCTTAAAAGACAGGGAAGAATTCAACAAGTAGAGATTGTGTGAAGGGAATAGTGACCAATGTGAACAGAAACATAATTGCAAGACAGTGCAGTCCTGAAGAAATTTATGACTGAAATCCAGCTTTTTTCATGGTATCCTTCAGAACACCCAGTAGCTAAGGGGTTTTACTATCTAATTCCATTATTTGAATATATTTTTACTATATATTCTATTATATTCTTGGGCATCTAACCCTATTGTTTATTGTGTCTGTTTATTTTCATTCATGGTGGATTGTTTCCTCAAGTGTTTTGAACTGTTGAAACCTGCCATAAGATACTGGCCAAAAAGTCAATTGTGATTAAAAAGAAAAGAAGAAAAAAAGGGAAATTGTAAACATTGTAATAAAAAGAAAAGAACAAAACTGAGTATATTAGAAACTGGTCAAGCAAGGGAGTTGCTGACCAAATTAATTTAGTCAAACTCCCCTAAGTAGCTCAATCACTTGGATTTTATAAAATGGCCAGAGAAGAATCTCTCGTAGAGTGATTTTAGGGTGAGAGATAACAAGCAAGATGCTGATTAGACTTTGTAAGCCAGTATCTGATTACTTTGACACACAGAAGTGAGGCTGGTTGTTAAAACAGCACATCAAGAAAGCAGCCTTCTTTTCCTAGAACATATGGTTCTGAGCAGAGCTGCTATTGAAAAAGTTCGTATGTTTTTCCAAGTTGTGATTTTTGTCATTTTTTACTTCTCAATAATTTTATCTACAAGCATATTTTTAGAGAAACTTTCCTTTCAGGAATTCAGAGAGGTTGTATCTCTCTGGAGGGTATTGGTGTTTACTTCTCACTCAAGGTAGTCACCAGCTGAGACCTAATTTGAAAGAAGTACAAGTTGAACTTCACATCACATGAGATTACAGTCTCGGGGAAAGTCTTCTGTTCACTGACCCCAACACTCCAGGTTAACACAGACAAATATTCTTGCTGATGGGTTGATTTGTTATTTTTTTAGTACCACTCTTTTGCTAATGATGTTGCCCTTCAAGGGTCCTGGCTTTATAGGGGATCTTAGTTCTCACTCTTTTTCTCTCATGGTCATCAGGCATCTCTTGTCGCTTTGGTGGGAGAAATGAAAACTCAGGTTAGATTAAAACTGGAAATCCCCTCCCAACCCAAGGCATGAACAGCTTTAGAACATGTTTACTATTCTGGATTTCATTCCTTTCTTTTTTCCTGACTCATTTCTTTTTGTCAAGTACAGTCTTGCATTTGAAGAATGTTGGCTTTGTTTTCTCTAGCATTGAAAAGTATTTGTAGTTTGAAAAGTTCTAGTGTCTTAGAGAACTCCAAGCAGGACTATTCATATAAAACAGAATCTGATGTGAACGATCTCCCCTGAGATCAAAGTCATTATCTCCTCTAGCTCTCTGACAATGTTTTCTAAGCCAAAAGTTAGGATGCAATGCCTGAAAATTAAAAATGTAGTTATGGCTCAGTAGGATAGAATATTTTCCAACAACAGGGAATGTCTTCCCTCTCCTCACTCTGGGACACATGATTGTTATGATGTACAGGAACAAACTGATAATAGTTAGACAGCTTCTTACATAATAAAACAGAAGCCTTTAAATCTTCAGGAGAAGCCATAATATTTTGGTCTCTCTTTCTCTTTGTGTTTTACTGGTGAAAATTAAGATAGAATGCTGGAGGACAGCAAGAGTAAATGTTGAATGAAAACAAAATAAATGAATACTCAGATGTCTGTCTCCAGGGTTTGTAGCTACTACTTTTCCATTATCAGAAAATGCTCTGAGACTAAGAGTGAATTTTTATAAAAAAGAACTCCCCCCCCCCCAAAGCAGCCGTCTTCTCAGAAAAGGTATTCTGGCAATGACCATGTTTTGTATACCTGGAAAAGTGGTGATGTATGTTATGCCCTGCAGATAGATTTTAAAAGAAAGTCTGCAACCTACAGCAAAATAGACAGTGGTCTCTAGACATGCCCTCTCTTTCCTAGCTCTTTAAGTCCTTTGCTTAATAAAATTGTTGCAAGGGGTGGCTTCTGTTTCCAAAATGCTTGTGCATATCCTCCCTTAGTCCTTTATTGGGGAAGAAAGCACAGTCCCTGTACAGTTGGGGGGGGGGTAAAAGAGGAAAGAAAGCCAGTATTAGAGTAGAATCTGCTCATACCACCAAGCCGCCTTTACGCCTTTAAATTAAACTGGTACAGCACTAATAGAATAATTTATAGTTATCAAAAGGAAACTTCTTCTGTAAGTGGTCTCTTCAAGATATATTCTTATATTGAAAATTCAGAAAATTATGCATCTAATATGTGTTAAAAGAATAACTTGGAGCTGGCAGGTGGCATAGTGGTTGAGGGTGCTAGATTCCCACATGGCTGACCACAGTTGGAGTCCTAGACCTGGTGGCTTGCTTTCTCACACTCTCTCTTGCTTTGTCCTTCTCTGGTCAAATTAAAATAACTAAGTAAATAAATAAAGTTAAATTAAGTAATTCTTAAAAAAAAAAAAACACTTTAGTTTAATTAGTTTAATTGAGCAGAGTTTAATTGAGCAAAAACTATGTGACCAGCAGTTACCATAATGGCTATGTCTCTGGACTCCCACGTAGTTGGCCACAGTTTGCGTCCTGGACCTGGTGGCTTAAAACTCATGCCAGGCGCATGTACGTGTGTGCCCAAAATCCCGAGAGGAGAACAGAAGAGAAGGGATTGCGGCGTGGCCATCCACCCTGGGGGGTGATTTCTCTCTTTCTATCTCTCTGTCTCTGTCTGTCTGGTGAGCGCACGTGCCCTGTAGCAAAAACCTCTCCAAAAAAAAAGTACACTTAGGGGACAGCAGGTGGTGTGGTGGTTAAGGGCACTGGACTCCCACATGGCCAACTTGATTCGAGTCCCAGAAGTGGCAACTTGATTTCTCACTTTTTCTCTCTCTCACTCTGTCCCTCTCTGGTCAGATTTAAATATATATATATAAATGAAGTTAAATAAAATAATAATTTTTTTTAAAGTTTCAAGTGTGGGATATGAGAGAAAGCAGGGACCAGCAGATGGCGTAATGGTTATGTCCCTGGAATCCCATGTAGTTGACCATGGTTCAAGTCCCAGATTCAGTGGCTTAAACTCTCTGGGTGTGTATGCATGCATGCCCAAAATCCCAAGAGGAGAATGGAGGGGAAGAGATTGCAGTGTGCAATACCCCTAGGGTGGGGGATGATGTCTCACTTTCTGACACTCTGTCTCTCCAGCAAGTGCACACATCCTATAGGAAAAATCTCTCTCTCTTAAAAAAAAAAAGAAAGAAAGAAAAAGAAAAAAAGAAAAAACTATTTGTTGATGACAATGTATATAGCAATGTCTTTGTCTTGACTGATATGTATAGTATTCATGCTGGAAAAAGCAATGTTGTTCACTGAAAAGATATATGTGATTAAGTGTAAATTAAAATTGAAAAATTTTTTAAAAGAGCTATTGTCAAAGGTGCACAACATAATAAAATGATCAGTGTTGAAGATGAGTGTGCATATATCCTTGATTTGATTTATGCATGTTTTAAGAAAATCATACTGTAACCCGAAAAGATGTACATTGAATTATGTTGACCAAAAATCATAATTAAAAAATAATAGTAGTTATGTGTACATATGTCTACTTACACTTTTATAGGGTTTTAGAAAGCCCTACAGTGGGGCCAGCCTGTGACCTGGTGGCTAAGACAGCTGGATCCCATGTGGTCTGCCACATAGTTCAAGTCCTAGACCCAGCAACTTGAGAAACATACCAGGAGTGTTTGTATGCAGGACCAAATCCTGAAAGGAGGGAGAGATGAAGGGTATGGGATTGCCTATGACCATGTCCCGTGGGGAGTGTTTTCTCTTTCTCTCTCCCCAGCAAGTGCACATGCCCTCTGACAAAATAAAAAATAAAATCCTTATAACCTGAAGCCAAGAGAAATGGGCCCATTCTTGAGTATAACAAGGGAAAAAAATTATATATATATCACAAACCAGTTTGCTTTTCTTGAGCCTTGAGTCTCATTATTCATCCTAGCCTATGCTTGTTTGTTACTTATCAAAACTGCTTTTGGGGGACCAGCAGTTAGCGTAATGGGTATGTCACTGGACTCCCACGTAGTCGACCACGGTTCGCATCCCGAACCCGGTGGCTTAAAACTCACGCCGGGCACATGTGCGTGTGTGCCCAAGATCCCGAGAGGAGAACGGAGGAAAAGGGATTGTGGCGTGACCATCCCCCCTGGGGGGTGATTTCTCGCTTTCTGTCTCTCTGTCTCTCTCTGTCTGGCGAGCTCACGCGCCCTATAGCAAAAACCTCTCAAAAAAAAAAAAAACTGCTTTGGGGAAATTGTCAAAGCTGACAGTCAAAAGTCGTTTTCTTACAGGGTAAAGGAGGACAAATGGATGAATGTCCAAGTGGGAGATATAGTAAAACTAGAAAACAATCAGCCAGTCACGGTGAGTACCTCTTTTGGCTGTGGCTTTTTCTTTTTTGGCTTGAGTGGGTACAAAGGACCCTTGCAGCACTTTTGCTACCACTACTTTTGATGAGCTTCGTCTGCCTCACTTTGCATCAGAGATCCACAGCTCTCATGGTAAGAAGCTTATTCTTATCCATCTCTCAACACAGCTACAAGTAAAGCATGAGTAGTTTTGGGAGAGGGTGCATGGTAGCAGTGACGGAGCTGACAAAGAGTCAGGCAATGCCTATAAAATTTTAGAGCGAACATATTTTTGCAGTGACTGCTTGTATTAGGAGCCCACCCTCCTGCTTTCCTTATCTTCTCTGAGTTTTCTGACCACAGGCAGATATACTGTTACTTTCAAGCAGTGAGCCCTACGGTCTGACATTCATAGAAACAGCAGAACTGGATGGGTAAGTGTTCTCTCTTGATGTACCATTAAAACAATTTAGCCTGCTTAGAGTGGTTTCTCACAGAGGAGGAGAGCATGCTGTGGGAATTAGCTTTATTCTCAGATGGAAGTGGTAGTATATGAGCCAGAGAGCCTAGGGATACCCAGAAGAGAGAAGATAGGAAGCCAAATCCTATCTCAAGTCTAAGACTGAGCTCTTGATAGCAATAAATGAACATTCACTGGGCACAGTAGCTGGGCAAATAAACTCCATATTCTCAATCTCTAACTAGAGATACTCTATCTGGCACTATTTCATAATGCTGAGTGGCAGGGAAGAGGTTAACAGAAGTGTAAAATTTCAAAATAGAGTTCCAAAAATGTCCAGGGGAAAAAATTTGAATATGGAAGTGATTATTTATTACCTAGTACATAGTAATACCATGTTCTAAAAAGGACTTGAGCTAGAAATTCATTAATATGCAAAAACTAAGGTCTTAGAAAAATAGGAGCCATCTTCAGAGAGCTTGTCCTATGGAGTTTTGTATCAATCTACATTCGTAACTTTTCCCCTAGGTGCCCACTAGCTTTTTGAAATGTAGATTTCATTTTCGCTTCTGTCTCTGTGCATTCCTATATCAGCAAACAGTTAATTGAGATCTCTTCATGAGTCTTATAAATATTTATGAAGCAAGGAGTATGTTTCCTTGGAGGTGTGTGCAGGTTCTTAGCAGGACCCGCTTCTTAATCTTGAAGGGAGTTGGTGCCACCTCCAGGTTGTTTTGTTATGTCTCTTAAGCTTCTCTAGAGCATCTGATCGGTTAGATTTCATGGGCTGATTAAAGTTGGTATTGTAGGGAGAGAGAGAGGAATAGAAGGAGGACAGGGGGCTAACACTTAGCTTCTGTGCAGAACCATTTTACCTCAATACTGCTCACATGAGAGGAACAGTGGACGAGACTCAAACCTATAGTCTATCTCTACTAGCCACACCTGTTTTCTTTTTTTTCCCTTTTCTTTTATTTATTTATTTTATTTATTTATTTATTTTTTTTTTTGAGAGAGAGTTTTGCTATAGGGCATGTGCACTCACCCAAGAGAATGAGAGAGACAGAAAGACAGAAAGCAAGAAATCACCCCCTAGGTGGGATGGCCACGCCACAATTCCTTCTCCATTCTCCTCTCGGGATCTTGAGCACACACACATACACACCCAGTGTAAGTTTGAAGCCACCAAGTCTGGGACTTAAACTATGGTCAACTACTTGGGAGTCCAGCAATGTAACCATTATGCCATCTGCTGGTCCCACGTATGTTTTCTAAAATCCCATGCATGCATGAAGAAGTATGAGAACCTAGACCTGTGTTGCTATTGTGTATGTGTCCTATACTCTGATACTTTGTGTTATCCTTTACTCTAGTGAAACCAACCTGAAAGTGAAGCAGGCCATCTCAGTTACCAGTGAAATGGAAGATAACCTGAAACTTCTGGCAGCCTTTGATGGTGAGTTAGGGAATAGTTCTGCCCACTCAAATACTCATTAGTAGAGGACTGGTTAAATGAAGTGTGGTACATCCATACAGTGAGTTCAGTATGACTTATTACAAACAGTATGCGAGTTGATAGTTATTGACCTGGAGAATGTATTTACAACATATTAATAAGAGAAAAATTCATATTACATAGACTGTGTATAATATATGTTCTAGTATGTTCCATTGCTAATAAAAAAAATACCTGAGTATAGGTAATTAAAAAAAAAATAGTTTACTCAACTCATAGTTACAGGTCCAAGGCTTAGGGGCTGCATCTAGTAAGGATCTTATTGATAGAGTCCATAGATGGCACATGGTATCACATGGAGAGAGGGCAGAAAACACGTGGGGCAAAACATGTCTCTGTCTTGTTCCTTCTCCTTATAAATGTATCAGGACTCGAGAGAAGACTGCTGCATTTGAGCTGTGAACTATTGTTTTCAGGGACTAATACTCTGAAGATTTTCTGCTGAGACTTCATCCTCCAAACCCCATTCTAAAGTGGTAGGTCACCCTCTCTGCTACACAAAGGGAGAAAAATGAAACTGCCAAGAGATTGCTGATCACCTCCTCCTGCATGCCTCTGAACACTCAAATTGAATGTCTAAAAATTAGGAAGAAATGTATAACCTATCAGATGACCAGAAATCACAGAGACTAAGAAATATGAGAAACCAACAAAATACCTCTCCCCCACAGGAAAAGAACAACTCCTCTTAATCCACAAACAGTCCAATGGAACTCATGGAAATGTCTGATAAAGAATTTAGAATATTCATAGTGACACAGCTAACAGAGATGCAAGAGAAGAGAGACAACAAACTCCAGATGATGCAGGAGAAAAAAAATGATGAATTCCAGAAGGTGAGGAAGTTCTTGCACTATCTGAAAGAGGAAATACACACCATAGAAAATAATCATACAGAACTATTAGATATGAAAGCTGTAATACAGGAAATCAAAACCTCCCTTGAAAGTATTAAAAACAGATTAGATTATACAGAAGACAGAATCTCAGATGTAGAAGACAGAATCTCTGCCATAGAAAAATTCATCATGAAGACTAAGAAAATAGCCAAAAAAATGAGAATAGTATATGAGAAATACTAGATACCATTAAACATTCAAACATCCAAATAATCAGTATTTAAGAAGGTGAAGAGACTAATAAGGGCACTGATAATCTATTCCATGAAATCCTGGAAGAAAGCTTTCCAAACCTAGAGAGGCATTCAAAGATCCAGACCCAAGAAATACAAAGGACCCCAAATAGAATCAGCCCAAGAAGATCATCTCCAAGACACATTATAGCTAGACTGGCCAAAACCACAGATAGAGACAAAATACTAAAATTGACAAGAGAAAAACATCAAGTTACCTATAAAGTATATCCCATCAGGCTAATAGTAGACCCCTCATCAGAAACAATGCGAGCAAGGAAAGAATGGGAAAATATACTCAAAGTGTTGAGGGAAAAACAATTTCAACCAAGAATACTATACCCAGCAAGATTATCCTTCATATGGGAAAAAAAGATAAAAAACATTCTCAGATAAACAAAACCTGGAAGAATTTACCAACTCCAGACCAGCTCTTCAACAGGTTCTGAAGGGAGTGTTATTCCAAGAAAACTTAAAAGTCAGATGGACAGTTAAAAGAGAACAAAAAACAACAAATAAAATGGCTCACTTAATGATAGGAACAGATCTGGAAATATCGATAATAATGTTGAATGTTAATGGATTAAATTCTCCAATTAAGAGACACAGACTGGCTGAATGGATTAAAATTTAAAAAATAAAAAACAGAAACACTCTATCTGTTGCCTACAAGAAACACACCTTATGGACAAAGACATATAGACTAAAAGTGAAGGACTGGAAAAAGATATTCCATGCAAATGCAAATCAAAAAAAGGCTGGAGTTGGGATACTGATTTCAGACAAAATAGGCTTCAAGACAAAGACTGTAAGAAGAGACAAAGAAGGGCATTATATAATAGTAAATGAGCTAATTCAACAAGAAGACATAATGCTTATAAATATCTATGCATCCAACTCAGAAGCACCTAAATATGTGAAGGAATGACTGCTGGAGCTAAAAGGAGAGATAGGGTGCAACACTATAATTGTTGGGTATCTCAACACCCCATTATCTCCTTTAGAAATATCTTCTAGACAAAAAATAGAGAGATACAGGACCTAAATGATACCATAAATTGAATGGGCTTGAGAGACATCGATAGAACTTTCCCCCCTAAGACCACGAAATATACATTTTTCTCTCCCCAGCATGGTACCTTTTCAAAGACTGACCATGTGATACATACAAATCAAACCTTTACAGATTCAAAGGCATAGTAACTATATCACGCATCTTCTCTGACCATGATGGAATTAAACTCAATATTAATTTCAAGAAACACCCTCAAAAATACACGAACACATGGAAACAAAACAACCTACTCCTGAATGACTTCTTAACTACTGAAGAAATTAAGTCAGAAATAAAAAACATTGGGAACCAGCAGTTAGCATAATGGCTATGTCGCTGGATTCCCATGTAGTCGACCACGGTTCGCCTCCCGGACCCGGTGGCTTAAAACTCATGCCGGGCGCGTGTGCGTGCATGCCCAAGATCCTGAGAGGAGAATGGAGGAGAAGGGATTGCGGCATAACCATCCCCCCTGGAGGGTGATTTCTAGCTTTCTGTCTCTATGTCTCTATCTGTCTGTCTGGCGAGCGCACGTGCCCTATAGCAAAAACCTCTACAAAATACACCACCAGCAACAACAAATGCCAGGCAAAAAGAAATCATAAAGATTCAAGCAGAAATAAATGAAATAGAAAATAAACTAACTATACAGAAAATAAATGAAAGCAAAAACTGGTTCTTTGAAAAGATTAACAAGATTGACACTGCATTAGCTAGAATGATAAAGAAGAAGAAAGAAAGAAACCCGGTAAATCAAACACTTGATTAAATGGGCAACATTACAACAGACACAATAGAAATACAAAACATCATTAGAGGATACTATTAGTGACTATATGCCAACAAACAAGAGAACATGGAGGAGATGGACAAAATCCTGGATGGATATAATCTACCAATATTGAATCCGGAGAACATAGAAAACCCGAATAGATTCATAGCACGCCATAAGATTGAATCGGTAATAAATAACCTCCCAACAAATGAAAGCCCAGGTCCAGATGGCTTCACTTCTGAATTCTACAAAACTTTTAAGGAAGAGTTAACCCCTGTCCTACTCAAATTATTTCTAAAGATCCAAAAGGAAGGAAACCTTCTAAATTCATTTAATGAAGCCTCCATTGTCCTCATTCCCAAAACAGATAAGGACATGGAAAAAAAAAAAAAAAAGGAAAACTGCATACCTGTATCTCTGATGAATATAGATGCAAAATTTCTCAACAAGATATTTGTAAATCATATCCAACAACATATAACAAATATTATCCATCATGACCAGGTAGGTTTATCCCAGGGATTCAAGGGTGGGTCAACATACGCAAGACCATACATAATACACCATATTAATAGAAAGAAAGATGAAAACCATATGATCATTTCAATTGATGCAGAGAAAGCATTTTATAAAATACAACATCCTTTCATGATTAAGACTCTCACTAAGATTGGTATAGTAGGGTCATTTCTCAACACAATAAAAGCCATCTATGAAAAACCTATAGCTAACATTATACTGAATGGGGGAAAGCTAAAAACTTTTCCACTAAAAACTGGTACTAGACAAAGCTGCCCATTTTCTCCACTGCTTTTTAATATAGTGCTGGAAGTCTTAGCCAATGCAATCAGAAAAGAGAATGATATAAAAGGCATTCAAATAGGCAAAGAAGAGTTGAAAATATCTCTATTTTGCAGATGACGTGATGGTATACTTAGAAGATCCAAAGGTTTCCATGAAAAAACTTCTCAAAGTAATAAATGAATACAGTAAAGTGGCAGGATATAAAATCAACATCCAAAAATCTATAGCATTTCTATATACAAACAGCAAGTTGAATGAAGTAGAGCTGAAGAAAGGAATCCCTTTTACTATAGCCACAACATGTATAAGATACCAAGGGATAAACCTAACTAAGGAAGTCAAAGACCTTTACAAAGAAAACTATAAAAATATTTAAAAAGATATTGAAAGGGACATAATAAAGTTGAAGGACATCCCACGTTCCTGGGTTGGAAGAATTAACATAATAAAAATGGCAATTCTACCCAAATTAATCTACACATTTAATGCAATTCCAATCAAAATACAGAGACATTGGGACCAGCAGGTGGCGTGGTGGTTAAGGCACTGGACACTCCCACATGGCTGACCAGGGTTTGAGTCCTGAATCTGGTGGCGGCTTGCTTTCTCACTTCCCCTCTCTCTCACTCTCAACCTCTGTCTCTCTCTGGTCAAATTAACAAATAAATGAATAAATAAATAAAATAAAATAAATAATTTTTAAAAATACCAGCGATATTATTTACAGATCTAGAAAAGACAATCATGTAATTTGTCTGGAATCATAAAAGACCTCTTATTGACAAAGCAATCCTGTACAAGAAGAGTGGAGTGGGTGGCATATCACTCCCTGGCTCCAAAATATACTATAAAGTTGTGATAATCAAAACAGTATGGTATTGACACAAGACAGACAGGTGGACCAATGAAATAGAATAAATAAACCCCAAGAAATAAACCCCAAAGCTTACAGCCAAATGATTTTTGACAAAGGATACCTATCAGTCAACCATTGGGAGAAGGAAAACCTCTTTAGCAAATGGTGCTGGAAAAACTGGGTATCCACCTACAGAAAGATGAAACTGAACCCCCAATTTTTCACCAATAACAAAAATCAACTCAAAATGGATCAAAGATCTGAACCTAAGACCTCAAACTATAAAATTACTGGTGGAAAATACTGAGGAAACTCTGGAAGACATTGGGATAGGCAAAGACTTCTTAAATAAGACTCTCAAAGCACAGGCAATAATCCCTAAAATAGACAAGTGGGACTATATCAGATTAAGTTTCTGCACAGCAAAGGACACAGTAACAAGTGTGAATCAACAACCCTCAGAATGGGAGAATATTTTTGTCAAATAAGCCTCAGACAAGGGACTGATAATCAGAATACATAGGGAACTCAAGCAGCTTACCCGAAAAAAATTATTTTCCCAATAAAAAGATGGAAAAATGAGCTGAACAAAAATCTCTGTAAGTTAGACATGAATAGCCAAAAAGCATATGAGGAAGTGCTCAACACCCCTCATCATAAGGGAAATTAAAACCACTATGAGATACCACCTAACCCCTGTCAGAATGACAAAGATTAAAAATACAAAAAGTGAGAAGTGTTGGCAGGGATGTGGTGAAAGGGGAACTCTCCTACATGGTCAGTGGGAATGTAAATTGGCCATGGAAAACAATATGAAGGTTTCTCAAAGACCTGCCATTTGATCCAGCAATCCCATTTCTGGGTATCTACCCAAAGGACAGGAGAATGCTCAGTCAGAAAAGCACTTGCACATCAATGTTTATTGCAGCATTATTCACGATTGCTAAGACATGGAACCAACCTAAATGTCCACAAATGGATGAAT